CAACCCCACCACCTCACCCTGCATAGACCCGCTCTGTATGACTCCGCCCCATATAATTTTTCAATATTTTCTTTTTCTCATTAAGTTTGATACTACATTAAAATTTATAAAAATCAATTCATCTTTTCGTCAAGTTGCATTACTTTAATAAGAAAATAAATTATCTTTTATTGAAAATCATTTTCATTTACTATCTCAAATACTTTAGTAGCTTTAAAGAAATTATCTTAATAAATAATACTTTATTAATGCTATAACATATAAAAATTAAAATTAAATTTAAGCCACGTAAAATTATATCATTATAGATGAGAGTTTCATGGTGCTAAATATAGAGAAGATAAGAAATACCGGACTAAGGCAAATATTCTTCTTTTCATATCATCTTGTCCTTTAAAACATTGTGCAAATGAAATTTCTCAAGACCAAGAAACATCAACTTATCATCTCATATGATCAAATATTGATTGTATTTAATATTTTCTCACACAAATTTTGGTTTAATCAAAAGAAATTAATCTAAAAAGATCTTTAGTTACACACCCAGTAAAAAAAACAAAGATAAACCATAACATCTTAAACTTTATGATGAAGAGAGAAACAAACAAATCGTGCTATGATTTTCATTTGGGCCTTCCATTCTGTAATTGTTTTGGGTTTGGAATCAGCCTCTGCTTTATCCACGTAGTTCCATATATATATATATATAATTTATTTATTTTTTAAAAATTTCATATACATAAAGAATGCGTAAAAATTACAATAAATTATGATAATCGCCAATTTAATATATATTTATAAAAGAAGTAACATGTATTACTTTTTAATTTAGAAGCTACTAAAAAGTACGATAAATCTCAATTATTAATAACATAACTTTTGCATTTCTATTTATGCTACATATTTTAGGGCAACAAAATTTCCAAAATCCGTTTTATAAAGATTGATCTAGTTTGACTTGATAATGTGTTTAAAAAAAGAAGGAAGATTTTTGATTATGTGATTTTAAATTAAAGCTATGTTAAATGTAATAAATTACCCTTTATCTTTAGCCTTAAACATATCACTTGAAACTACCAAAAAAAAAGAAAAAAGTCATTATTTTTTAAACAAACCAAGGAAAAGATTATTATTGACGGATGAAAGTAATATATACTATTTATAAATTACAATACTAATCACTTAAAATATTTAAAAATCATATTAAAATTTAAATAACTCTCTGACTTTTATCTATACAACATAAGATAAGACTACAAAATACTTATAGATAAAAAAATTTATCATAGACTGATCAAAGTAATATAGACTATTTATAAATTATAATAACTAATTACTTAAAATATTTAAAAATCATATTAAAATTTAAATAACTCTTTAAATTTTATCTATATAACACTAAAAAATACTTATAGATATTGACCCATACTACCACAAACACTTATGTCTAGTAATTATGAAAGTGTTGGAAGAAATTACAATAAAACTATGAATTATCGTATTTGTAGTAGAAAGTCGGAAAGTGACAATAACTCGTAACATCAGAATCAGTTGGACGGCGGTTTACAAGACATCAACCTAACGTGTGGCTAGCTGAAGCCGAATTAGTGTCTCATGACATATTTTTTTGTTCTTTCTTTCGTATTTGCTCCATTACAAATAATTTTATCTTGTTGTACACTTACATCACTTCATTACTTTTTTTATCACCGTAAATCTTAAAAATAATGATAAAATAAAAAAAAAGATAAATTGAGTCCCTTATTTTGTGTCTCTCTCACCATTGATCCTCAGTCAACACTCCATGCCTTCTCCCATCACCAATACTTCTTCTTTTTCTTCCTCCATCCGCTTCATGGGTCTCCTTAAACAACCTGACTCTAACCCTAACAACAACATCCTAGATGAATTCGACGAGAGCGATGTTTTCTGGTCTGAATCCCCTGATTCCGCTGTCGTTAATTCCTTCTCTCCCCCTACCCCTACCCGCCACCTCCCTCAACGTCCCCCTACCCTCTACAAACCTTCAAATTCCGGTCTCTCCGCTGCTCTCACCGACGACCACCACCCTCTTGTCCGTCGTAAATCTACCCTCAACCCTTCCGTATCTGCCACATCCGCTGCGAAGATGATTCCACCGGTGTTCCGTTCGGAGAATTCAAATCCTAATTCTCACCCTAAATTTCATCAATCTGCTCCGGTAAACGTGCCCGTGTGGCAGAAGAAGGATGGACCGGTGGGTGGGTTAGACCAATTTGATGAGGTGGAAGATGAAGTGGAAGGGGAGGAAATGGTTCCTCCTCACGTGATGGTGGCGCAGTCGCACGTGACGTTCTCTGTTTTTGAAGGCGTTGGGAGGACGCTAAAAGGAAGGGATTTGCGGCGTGTTCGTAATGCTGTATTTCAGAGAACAGGTTTTATTGATTGACCCTATAACCTTCCTACCCCCAAAATTAAAAAAAAAAAAAAAAAGAGGATGAAGAGGTTAATCAATTTGTTGTTTTTGGTGATTGAATTCTGAAGAATAATATTAATTTCGAAGGAGTCAGTTGCACTACGTTCATTTCAAGCTTTGTATATTAGAATTTGGTACATTCTCATTTGGAAAATGGTTATTTAATTGTAATTAGGAATTATGGTGAAGTAATCGTCATCCCAAATACAGATGTTTCTTTTTTCTGTTCAATATAATTGCTTGAGTTTTGAACTATGATAATGCTCAAATTTTGACATTTGGTTATTATTTTGATTCATTCAAAGTGAACTTCTTGTTATGTTAGCTCAATAATGCAGCAGCAGTGGAATTACTAATTCGTTCCAATCCTCGGAGACTGGTGTTCGCGTGCCCAGGCAGATAGCAATGAATTCGTTATTATTATCTTGTTACATATATGCATGATGTGAATACATAACATAACCTTAACTTGTTATAACCCTTGTTATTTGAGAACCTGCCATGATGAGGACTAGTAGTGAGGTCGATTTTGGCGCGAAATGCTTAAGAAAAGCATACAGTAAATGCTAAAAGTTGATATTATGATGGCAATTATGCTCAGACGAGACAAAAGGTAAAACTTCCGGAAATTTCCATGGTATATACTTCTGGGTGGGATTTACTACATGTAAATGGATATATGTAGTGACATTTGCAGCTGAAAATATCACCTTATGAATCTAGAGTTCATAGTTCTATTGCAGCTTCTATTATCTTGAGAAACTTTATTTGGCATTTTGGATTATTTAAGCGTGCTCTAACTAATCATTCCAAGGAATCTAAAAACCCTATAAGCCCAAAAGTAAAATTTACAGTCTAGTTGTGGGGCTCTAAGCAATATGGCATAGATATTAACAGAATTATTACCTGATATTTATCTAAGTTTATTGTTCTTATGATGTATGTTGTTTCTGGTAAGGCAAGTCTATCCGATTTTCTTTGATGTTCACTATCAAAGTATATTCTACTGTAAAAGTTAAGCTATCTTTTGTATATTCCTCATTGCTTTGTAAATTTTCTTCAATTGCTCTGCGGATCCAGGTGACTGCCTCTGGTAGAGGCTGAAAGCTGACTCGCTCAAGTGTGAACTCTATTGCACTCTGTTGAATTACATTTCTGTGAATATTTAGTTATTGCCGAGTGATTAATAACCTCAAGACATTGGCATCAGCTCCCTGAATGATTAAATCATCGTATGTTAGATGTTTACATGGAGCATATTCTGCCTGCATTTTTCAGGCTGTGCGGGAAGAAAGAAATGAGAGATATTTCAACATTCCTCTTTTGTTTCAAATGTATATGTTTGCAGTTCCCTGGTGTAATTTCTCGTTTATATTAATGTAAACTCTCATACCGATTCAATATAATCCTTCATGCCCGTTTGAAGAGAGAGAGGCTGATCTTGTTTTGCTGTACATATTTTTGCACTTGAAAGAATATATTTTTTCCATCATTATTGCTCTCTATCTGCAATAGTTGTTGAAGAGATTACCACCACATCTTCTGTTTATACATGGATGCCCAGGAACCGGAGATCTATATTCAATTCTCATTTGATGGAATTATTAACACATGAATAGTTCATGGAAACAAGTTATGCATAAACGTTGATTTGTTGTCTGTTCTTCTGAGATTTAACATGCAGAGAGGACAGTCATTACAAGGTTAGTTAGTCATTTGCTCTGTGATGGAGTTCATTGATTTAGACGAATAGTAGATGTTCTTGACCTGCAAATTTCGACATTGATAGAGTATTTATGTGATGATTAGCTGTCGGCTTCTTGTTTTTCTCTGTTTATGCAGTGATTTAGAGTTGTTTATTGTCTTGTGATTAAAGATGATGATTCCAGAAGGTAGATTTTTCAGTTGAAAGTGACTTTTTTCTGGAATGTATGATAAAAACACATTTAAAGGCAGTTCCATCAGCAGTTTATTTTGTGGATCTGAGTGATTTCAGTAGGACCCAAACACGGATTCTGTAGTAGTACGAATCTTTTAAAATGCGTAGTTCATTGGATACAATAATACAAAGTGATAAAATAAAAATCTTTCAAATCGGTGATCAGTCCCACTAGAATCCATCGTCATGGGTCTAAAAGAATATTTTTCATCATTTCGATTTGATGCATGTTCGAAATTATTCTTGGTTCTCAAATTCCCCAACTTAGCAAGTCAGTTCCAATTTCAAATCAAAACAAAAAGAAGATTCTGTTTCCACGCAAAACAAGCGTTCTTCTGTACTCGCGCTTTCACTGTTAATGGAAAGATTTTTCAGTACTCTATGCAATTTTATTTCTTCGAGCAGATTACATCATGTTTTATTGTGAAATTTTTAAAAAAAAAGTAATTCTTTATTTTTAAAGTGAAAATTGATTTTTTAAAAATTGTATCCAGTGAAATACAACTTGAACTTCTGTTTTTTCAAATTGTTGAAAATTCTGAAATTCTAACTTCAAGTTAATTTGGAAGCTAAGGCCAAATGTATTTTTTAGAAATTGAACGCCGGTTGAAAAGGTGAAAATAAGTTGTCATAATACATACCATTTTGATCATGCCGAAGAAATAATTTATTGGACGGTAGATTACGGGTGTGTAAAACCGACCAATAAATCGAACCGGCCTATGACTATCCGAAGTTTCCTTTATGAGATAAAAGAACGACAACTTATATGTTATGTATTTTCCTAATGTTGCCTTTTGTAAGCTATTCTTCGATATTGTACCTATGATTTGGTAAATCCTTAAAATACGTTTCTAAGCTATATCCAGTTTCTGTACTTCTAAGATAGTTATTTTTTTGCTCCTTAGTTTCAAGAATCAGGAAATTTCACTATGTCTGTCCGACTGTAAAAGCCATACAAATTGGAGGCCTAACTTTGAGTAAAGCAAGTAGTGCTGATGGAAGAATCCATAATCCATCACCACAAATAAATCCTGAAGCCACTGCAGGAACCATCAAATCTGCCTTCTTGCTGTTGAGTTTATGCCATACGTATACGATCAAACTCCCCGCAGCCATATCAATTGCAAAGGAAGCCCCAACAAGGAAAGGCACAGCTATAGCCATTGGGAGAGGAACCAATTTCCCGACTCTCTCAGGGGCCATGTCTCTCACCAAGTTGGCAAGTACAGCAAACGCGAAAAAACCATAACACAGCTGCAAGCAATGGCGAGGCAGAGCTGAGAATCCTTCAACACCTAAGATTGCCATGTTTCTATAGATGAGTGCATAAGGAGCTTTGTACTCACCATTGGGACCCCCTACATCAAAAGATTTGTAGAATAGGAAAAATGTAAGAGGTGCTACGACACAGCCAATGGCAGTCCCAATAGCTTGGCTGAGTAACATGGAACGCGGGGATGTAAGGGTCAGATGACTCGTCTTGAAATCGTGCATCAGGTCAGAGGATATAGAAACCATGGATTTAATCAGTCCACATCCAATAAGCCCAGCGACAACACCGTTCTCTTTCCCGGATAATGCAGCAAGCACAAACAGAGCTACTTTACCGTAATTGTATGCCATATTCAAATCTGTTAGACCAGCACCATAAGCATTGCAGAAGCTCAAAGCTGGTGCAAAAACATAGGCAACGAGCACATAATACCACTTCAACGCAGGGAACATAATTGGAATGACAATGATGGAGATAAGGGAAAAGATCAAGTAGCCAATACAAGCTAGCCAGAAGGGAATGCTCTCTCTGATGAATATTTCGTTTCTCTGCAGCTCTTCAAGTGGAAGATTCTTGGCTTCTGAGGGTGCTGCCAAAAAATGGAGTGTTAATAATAGAATTTCAACAGAAGGAGACAATGTTTTGCCCCTCTTCTCATTAGCTAACATAAAATTCGTTCAACATTCAACTTCTTTGTTGGAGCACACATCTTTGACACTTGACGTTACCATCAAATTTCATTAGAAATGGAGGAGAGCACTTACATGATTCAGGCCTTTTTGTTTTCAGCGTGGCATATATGTTTCTAAAAGTGAAATAAAGTGTCCTGACAAAATTGTAAAGGCCATCTCCCAGGAGAAGAGCAATGGAGATAAAAACCTGCATACAAATTTTATGGTCTAATGAGAAAAAAGGTAGAATGCTTATTTGATTATCGGACAAATTAAGCGCCCACAAACCTTGTAACCCATTAGACTCTTCATACTGCTCTGTGGTAAACTTGAAGGGAACCAATATCCGTCGCGATCAGTAATTAGAGGCCACATGATACCCCAAGAGAGCACAGCTCCAAGAAGCAAAGAGAAGTTCACAAGGTGAGAACAAATCATTCCAGCTCCCACATAAGTCATGTCGAAATCAAAGAAAAACCTGGAAATATTTCAATGGTATAAATTACTGTTAGTTGTATAGGAGAAATCATTCATGAATCACTAAAAAATATATCATCAAGTACATACGATTGCTTCCAAGCTTTCAACCCGAACGTGGGGAAGTTGGCAAATCCACAGTGATCTCCACCAGAATAGAACCACTGGAAGAAACTCCAGAAGAAGCTGAATGTGAAAACTTTCATGAACCCTTTAACCTGTTTCCTGAAAATTTGAACACAATTTTCATTTCTCAAGAAAGGCTAGTTTTACAAGGCAAGTTAGTCCTAACTCCTAATTATGATCTTGCATACTTGGCCAATTTATCTCCCTTGGGTGTATGAAATCCATTGATTAGAACAGCAGTCGCAGTTCCACTTGGATAAGGTAATTTGTAGTCAATTATCATGATCTGCACCACAACAAATAAATAAAAATTCAAGAATCAGTTTTGATTACGAGAATACGTGATGAATCATCACTACTATCCGAAACAATATTTGAAGATTATTTCAATTTGGCTCATTATTTCAATTTCAAAAGAGTACTATTTATTTCAAATATCAACCAATTCATGTCCAAGTGCCTACGAAGTCTTTTAACAAGTGAACAAAACGAAGACAGCTTAAAGATTGGAAATTACCTTTCTAAGAGGAACCAGAGCTAATAGCCCAACAAAACTAACAACAAAGAGAAAACCAATCATCCAATCAAGTTTAGGTTCCTTATAGCTCCCTGGTGTATTGCCACTTGTATCGACCCCAGCTTGCTGATATGTTTTCTTATTCAGTCCCAAAAGATATGATCCAAAGCCACCTAAATTAGCACAGACAAACAGAAACCAGAAAAAAACAAATGAATCCCAATTTTGAATTTCTCAAACACGCCGATCAAAAAGGCAAGGCACACAGTAAGATATATCAGCTAGAACAACAATCACGCCTCAGTCCCAAACAAGTT